GTTCTGCGAGCCCATCCACTCTGAACTGGAAGTACTTCCGTTCTCCCACTTCGAAAACTGCTCCTTTGGGGGTCGGACAGGTGGGTAGATGAACACGTGCAAGCGGGGTCACCAGGTTTCCCACATAGCCCTATGTAAGGGAGAGGCGGCTCTTGTCTGTTACCATTACAGCCTTAGGAAAGCCTTCAGTGGCATTTGTTTTGTTTTATATGTACTTTTGTGGAGTTTTCGTGAATTGAGTTGGAAGCGTTGCTCTGTGTGGTCTCTTCTGCGGGACTATTCACAAATATGGGGTGATCATAAATGTTTGTTATTGAAGACAGATAGGAGGCAGGAGAAAAATGCAGAATTAACTAAGGAGAACCAGCAGAGAAAAGTTCAGAGAAGCAGTTGGTTAAATCTCCATTTTCCTGTGGACTATGCTGATGAGTTTAGATTCTTCTCTCAAATACAGCAATGAGAAGAGGTGTTTTTGAAAATCTAATTCAGCTGGGAATTCAGAACATGGAGAGATAGCCACAATTGTTTCATTTGAATATTTGAAGTCTTTCTGAATGATACAAAGAGGTGACCCAGCACTGGTCTGAAAAGAGAATGCAGTGTGTGTAGGGTTGAGGCGGGGCTCCCTCTCTGTCCTTGGCCCTTTACTATGCCACCAGGGGTATTTACCCTTCGCCTTAGTTTCTTTATCTGTTAAATGGGCATAATTATAGTATCTGTCTTACAGAATTGTTACATTTAAATGAGATACAAATGCACTTAAATACATATAAAATGCTTAGCCCAATATTTGAAAAAAAGTGCTCTATAGACATTAGCTTAATAAAGCTTAATATAGATTTACAGCTCCCATTGGCTTTGTGATTAATTAATCTTGTCTAGTGCATTACAAAAGTGTCCCACACAAGTTAAAATTAACTAAATCAAAAAACTATTTGAAAATAAGTTTTCAAAACTATTTTCCTGAAAATAAGAAAGATGAAAATGCACCCACTAATTCAAAAAGTGGCTTTTACCAGGTAAGTTTTATGGACTTTAGACAAATTTTTGGACAAGTAATTGGTTGCTGTTGAACTGAATACCAAATATGAGCTTGGTAATGATCAAAATTATTTCTTCTTAGCTAAAAGTAGCAAGGCTTCCGTGGGGGCTGGAAGGCCAGCATTTATTGGAGGTCCTATTACGTACCATAAGGAATACCTTTCTCAGTCTCGTAACAGCCTCACGATGCAGATGACAGAATCTCCATTTCACAGAGGAGATGAGACAGCTGAGGCTGGCCCAGAGTTTCACAGCCAGAAAGTGTCAAAGCTGGAGTCTGTGGCTTCTGCCTACGCTGCCTTCCTTTCTGTCCTGTCTGATGGGGTGGTACCAGTACTCACTCCCAGACACCCTTTATTGAATGAGGGTGAACAAAAGTCGCAAGTTCCCCCATCCCTGGAGAGGAAGAAAAAAACCAAAAAACAGCTCTCTGTTATCAGAATCCAGGATCATGTTTTTCTTACACAAAATACCTGCAGATTTTTTTTCCTATGCAATTTGACATTAAGACTCTCATCAAAATAAAAAACTGGCATTGGGAAAAAAAAAACCACTCTTGTAGGATGGTCACACTGCTCGCTGGCTTTTAAGGTTGGCCATCCAAAATCAGCTGGAGCCTCACATAACTGCCTGCTCATGTTTTCTGACAGGCTTATGGTAAACTCCAAGATTAAGCCAGCTTCCAAGTGACTGGGCATCCTCCTGGTAAATGACGCCAGAATCCTTGGAGTTCTGCAGCCGGCAGCCTTGGGGAGCAGCACGTTTTCCAGACCGAGATGGTCTTGGGTTGACGCCCCTGTGGGGCATCTTTCTGTCCTTCCCTTCCCATCCCATGTTCTCACTTGGGCTGTTTTCAGACTAATCTCTTTTGAGGTGTCATTCTGCCATTATTGTGGCTTAAATTCAGTTATGTGACTCAGGAATTCAAAGTTGTGTTCCAGTCAGCTTTGCATAAGCTACTGTTTGTTCCTGGCCTGGATCCTTAGGCAAAGTTGAGGCCAGGATTGCATTGCTCAAGATAAACCAGGATGGACTAAAATTGCTTTTCATATGTTTGGGGGGGTAGAAGAGAGAGAAAAGGGAGGAAAAGAATAGAGGAGAAGAGGGTGGAGTAAAGAGAGAGGAGGAGAGAGTGGGGTAGTAGATGGGGAGAAAGGAGTGAAGAGCCAGAGAGAATGGAGGGGGGAGAGAGGATGGAGAGGGAGGAGGGGAGGGGTAGGAAAGTGAGAGCGAAGACAAGGAGCTCTGGGGGAAAGAGAAGGGTGGGGGGTTGGTTGGGGGTGGGGAAATAGGTGAGAGAAGGAGGAACTGCCCTCCCCCCATCAAAGTTTGACTCCATGAAAAAATTCAAATTGAATGTTTGAAAACATGTAGGGCAAGCTGGAATGTTAGTATAGTTAGTACAGTGATTACACTTTACTTTTTCCCTTGTGCAAAGACTCCTTGGTTCTAAAAAGCAAGATCCCTTTCAGTGCTGTGAACAGTGATTATAGGGTCCTTTCGCAATCTCTCCTTTGTTTACGTAATGTTCAGGAAATCATAAATCAGGTCGTAACATTTAGTTTCGGTAGCCCTCATTTCAGCTGTTCCATTTAGTTGAAGACCTCCAGGATCTGGGTCATTAGTCAGCATCTGCTCTGTCATCAGCATTATCAGGGACTCAGTGAGCCAGGTAAGTGCCCTACAAGAGGCCAGGGTACAGGAGACATCCGGGAGGCAGTGATTTTGTGTCATGGTGTTTGTAAGTCTGACAGCTGGTGTGGCTCCCCTAAAAATCCCAGCCCTTCTGTACCCCTTGTCCAGAGCAGCCTTCCTTCTCAGTGGTTGGAGGCTGTGAGAACTTAGGAAAATGTGCAATTTAAACTCTTCGTACAGCTCAGCTGGTGTGGATCAGTGGATTGAGTGCCAGCCGGCCTGTGAACCAGAGTGTTGCTGGTTTGATTCCCAGTCAGGGCACATGCCTGGGCTGTGGGCCAGGTCCCTGGTGGAAGGTGTGCAAGAGGCAACCACACATTGATGTTTCTCTCCCTCTCTTTCTCCCTTCCTTCCCCTCTTTCTAAAAGCAAAAAAGTAAAAAAAAAAAAAAACAAAAAAAACAAAAAAAAACAGGACCACAGGTGAAAGTTTTTTCCTATAGTAGCACCTAGCATTTCTGAGTATTTATTGATAATTTATGAAGCACTTAGCTATGCACGCACCACCCGCCTTTTGTCTTCTCTTGTTTGGGTACGGTCACATTTACTGGTCCCTGACACATTACTATTTATATCACTTCAGGCTGTAATAGTTTATTTATCTGTCCCTCAGTTTTTCTTCCAATTACAGTTTATATTCAATATTTTGTATTAGTTGCAAGTGTGCAGCATGGTGGTTAGATAAGCATGTACTTTACGAAGTGTTCCCCCTGATAGTCCCACTACCTACCTGGCACCATACCTCACCCCCGATGTTTAAACTTGAAATATTATTAAATTTCTTAAAATATTTAAATCAGTCCAGTTATATACTATTGAAATTCTCATTTAAAAATACTTAAGTGTCAGTTGACACCATAGGACATTTGTCTGTCATTTATCTATCCCATCTATCTTTCCTCTCATCTATCTAAGTTAATGGTATTTAGTTTTCTCTAGTCTTTAACCTCACGGGTTAAATCTCCAGATAGCATTTTTACAGAGAGAGAAAAACAAAGGAGGCTGGAGGAACAGGAAATGTAGAGAGAGTCATCCTTCTGCTAAAATAGTTTGCATTATTGGATATTTGTAATTGAGGGTGAAAATTATGTCATAAAACAGTAATTTCAAATAGCTTCAAAATGTTTTACTTATAACCATTGTTTAAGTAGGTAAGAAATGCACTTTACCATATATTCCAAGCACATCACAGGGAAAGTAGAGACTCACTCACTCACTGGCTTTCTCTCCCAAAACCTCCACTTTACAAGGCCAGTGCTCTGTTGTGTAGAATACGGCAACCTGCCTTCCCCGGGGAAGTTTAGTTGGTCTAAACTTCCCCATCGCCAGGCTATTGGCTACACCTGGAATGCTGCCGCCTCCCTCCCTCCAGACCTGCCCGCAGAATCTGCTGTGGTGATGAGGGCCGAGCTCAGACGTCATCGCGGCGTTTTTAATCTGCGGGCGGAGGGGGAGGAGGAGATCTTGTGTGGGAACGTCAGCCTGCACTTTGGGAGCAGACCACCGGGAGTGTGATGGCCGGTTTGACTCTTCACTAGGCCTATGACCTTGGTCAGATTATCTTCTCTGAGCCCCAATTTCCTTCCTTACAAAATAGGGGTAAAAATACCTAACTTAGAGGGTTAAGAGGGAATTAAATGAGGTGATTACAAAGTATTTAGTGAAATATGATCTTCGACAAATGATTTTTCCTCCCATCTATGAAAGTTTCCCAGAATTTCTCCCTGCCATGGAAATGATTCTCCCCTCCCATTGTCATACACACGTGTGTGTGTCAATTATATATAATACCTGTGCTTGCTTGCCACAAGTTAGGTAGGTGTCTTAGCTCCACCCTTGCGTTGCACATTTCCTTGCGTTCTGACGCATCTTTACAATCTCCAACTCCTTGCACCTATTAAGCGCCTAATAAGGGTTTGTTGATTTTAAATAACTGGTGGCTGGTTTGAGGTATGGGCAGGGCCGGTTCATTCATAAATGATCCATTAAATGCCTCCTTCTTACTGTACAAGACAGAGATGGAGAAATGGATAAAGCAAGAAAAGCATTAAAGAGCTTATAAAATGCATTAGAGTGAGTGAAAAGCAGCCAAAGTGCTCGTGTTACAAGACAGAAAGTAGCAAAACCTCTAGTTTAACCCCGAGCCTCCCCCGCGAACGAGGGACTCAGGGAAGGCTTTAGGAGAAGGTGCCGACTTCAGCATTGGGGGATGGGTAGCCAATCCGCCTGGGGGGGCAGCGAAGAGGAGGTCTTTCAGGGCAGAGATCGGGCATGGACATGGGAAATCATCAGTGGCGAGCTAGCAAGAACTGGTGTAAGCCTCGTTTTACATCGGACAGCGAGTGGAAAAGGAAGAACTGGCTGCAGAAGTTGCACTGTCAGCGCTGCGGAGGTTCCGCTTCCACCTCTGCGACGCGGCGGGACCTTTGGCGCTGCGGCCTGAGGTACAGGCTCGGGGTTTGTCTGCCTCTGAGAGGAAAGATACCTGCATCTTCTTTTTTGGTCTTTGGTCAGCAACAGGGCTTTTGCATCACCTTGAAAGGCTAGTTGTGGTTTATTTCTGATCAGAAAGAAAGCAGAGGTCCTGGTTCTTGCCAGGTGAGTGGCTATTAAATCTTAGCCTACCCTTCAAGTCAATCTGGGCCAATTCCTTCTCTCCTTCATTCTCTTTTTTTTTTTTTTCCTGTAAAAGTTGCTGCTTATATCCTTAAATCCATTTCACACTCTTTGTTCTGACGAGCACCTCAAGTACTATGTCATTTATTCCCATTACAGCCTGTTGGGGAGCGAGTACCCGGACTACCAACATCTATTTAACATGATGGCCTGTGTTTTTCCTCTCTCATCATTGATGTAACAACCTCCAGGTGGACATGTGCCCCAGGTGTGCTCACAGACCCTCACCTGCAGCTCTGTGGGACAAAGCTGAAAAAGACTTTCAGCCTTGACTTCCAATACCAAACCCTAGTGATACAGAAAGCAAAAGGCATCCAGTGCCCTCATGTGAAAAGAGCATCGTGGATATGCCTGTGTGTGGCAACATTAGAAGCTGCCCTTCTTATTTTGATTCCGATACAGAGGCTCTCTGGCTTAGCAGTTACTTAAAAGCAGAAGCTTCATACCCATCAATATACCTCTTCATCTTTTTTTTTCTTGGAAGAGGAGAATATAAAATTATAGTTAAGCCTAGATAGGACCAAAGCCTATAGAAATACAGATGATAAAGGATAGATCAGTATACAATAGAATTGAAATTGAATACTTTATAGAGTAGATATCAACAGATGTTTAAATGAGTATAAGGTTGTGAAGATTAATGATTGTTTTGCCAAAGATGAGAGATAAGTTTGAGCGGAATATTGAACACAATCTCCAGCTCTACTTTTACTTCTCTTACCAGTTGCCCAGTTGAAGAATTGGATTTCCTCTCCAGGTTACATGGTACCCAGAGGCAGGCTGTGCTTATATTACCATAGAGACAGATACTATTGATTTCCAGCTAGGCCATCTCTTCTGTGATGAGTCACCCAGGCAACAACACTGACCTAGAAAAGAGAGACCAAACCCCATTTTCCATGCATCCTGGTGCTAGTGGCTTCTTGAGGACAGTTCTCCTTTTTTTTTAGCCTTGAACTTGAGTTCACCAAAGCACTTGTGGCTTATCAGATTTTTACTCAATAATAATTATAGCTACCTAGTTTGCGGCATGTGGTTATAAGGAAAGCAGCCTGACCTTTTCTTGGATGGTGAAGTTCACACCTCACACTTCAGAAGGCTTCTAGGACAAATGATTTAACAAGAAGTTTAAAAATAATTTTTATTAGCTATTTGTCAGGAAGAATCTAAAAGCAGCTTTAGATTCTGATCATTATTATGACTATAGCCTGTTATGCCTGGGTGGTATTAAAGTCACTTTGGGTTTGATCACTTTCAAAATTCACATTGTGTTTCTGTTTCTGGAATTTCAACATTTGCCTGTGCAGTGTCAGTGTGGCCACTCCTCCCACTTTTATAGGGTCTTCTATCCAGAATAATTGCCATTCAGTGAAAAGGTACACACATTTTTCTGAATACTGATGAATTTTTTTCCTCCAAGTAAAACAGAGGTTTCTCATTTTGCTGAAACCTTAGATGTTAGAAACCATTGCATCTTTTATAGGTTCTGTCTCAAATTTGTCATATCCAGTCATGCCTGACTAATGTTAATCATGGTATTTGCCTACATCGTGGCTTCCATTTACTCATAACTGGCAAGAATTGTATCGTCCCTTGTGTAACATGATGTGGGTGTAGACCATCCAAATCTAAATGTATTTTTGTGCCTTTGGGAAAAACCTGCTCACGTTGAAAATGCTAAACCCTGCATCCTTTTTGTGAATGAGGATCAATCAGGCCCAGAACAAGTTAGGGACTTTTCTGTTTCATCGTGGAACTGAAATTCGGATGAACTGCTGCGTCTTGCTTCTGCCCATCCCTGGATTAGGCTGTGGTGCCTGGATTAGGTGGTTTGTCTTCCGGGGAATAGCTGTGGCCAGGAAGGCATTCTTCAGCTCTTCCATCACCCTGATCTCCTTCTGCGTCACCGTTGCCTTCCTGTGACTCCGACTTCCTTGTAGTCATCGCAGTGTTTCTGTCCCCCCTCTGCCCCATTGCATAAACTCAGCAGGGATCCCTTGAACCCTCTGGTTCTGCTAAACAGTTACTGATCCTAACCTTCACTGAGTATTTACTATGAGCTAGGTGTCTGATCCTCAGCAACTCTATCAGGTAGGTTCTATATTATTTCACATTTCAGGTGAGGAAAGTGAGACGGAGAATTTAAGGATGCTCAGGGTGAAGGCTGCATAGTAAGTAGCAGATCCAGGGTTTGAACCCAGGCAGACTGGCCTCCAGAGATTTTATGCTTTCAGTCTTTCCTTAATGTCCGCTGGACATTTGGATGTGGTGCCATTTCTGTGACGTTCTGGCAACTACAATTGAACTTCTGGGGTGAGGGAGGGTGGAATACTGGCCTACTTTTGCCTTTGCAAGACTCTGAGCTCTTTCAGCTAATAATCGTGTGATCTTTGGCATGTCTGTCAGGCAGAGTTCACCCGAAGGAGCAGAGCCAGGAGGAGACGTGTGTTTTCAGGCTTATTGCGAGGGCCTGGCTTATGCAAGTATGGGGACGGGCTGGGCAGGACTGGTGTGGGCAGGGCGGGCCGTCAGGCACACAGGCTGCAGCAGAGTTTTACATATTTATTTATTTATTTATTTATTTATTTATTTATTTATTTATTTATTTATTTATTTTTAGAGAGAGGGGAAGGGAGGGAGAATAGGAGGGAGAGAAACATTGGTGTGTGGGAGAAACATCCACTGGTCGCCACATATATACCTCCCAATTGGGTACCTGGCCCACAACCCAGGCATGTGCCCTGACTGGGAATTGAACCAATGACCTTTCAGGTCTCAGGCTGGTGCTCGATCCACTGAGCCACACCAGCCAGGTCAGAGTTTGTTCTTCAGGAAAGCCTCTGCTCTGCTTCTAAGGCCTTTCAACTGATTAACTCAGGCCCACCCAAGCTACCTAGGATATGATCCAGGTAAAACCCTTATTAAGGTCAACTGATTATGGACTTTACTCACATCTACAAAATCCTCAGATTAGTGTTTGACTGGGTAACTGAGGACAGTAGCTAAGCTCAGCAAAAAGACCATCACGGCAAGTTACTGCATTTCTCCGAACCTGTTTCCTCTTACGCTAAACCACTGCCTGTGGATCGTCGTGAGGACTGTCTAAAGTGAGGTGTGTAAAGGGTACACCGTGTGGCATGTAAGAACTCAGTAAAAGACGGTTTTATCGGTGGTGGTGGGGCGGCTGGGCCCCAGCAGCAGTGGCTCGGTCTCCTCCAGTTGTGACTTAGCAGCCGTGGTCGTCACTGTCCTTCCTGATCATCCTGGTTCGCTGCGCAGTTGGCTTCCTAACTGGCATTCCTGTCTAAAAGCTCTTCTCATCCTTCTTCATTTTTTTCCTCAAGGCTACCCTGGAAGCTTAAAGTGACTCACTACTCTCCAACTCTGAAAACATGTCTTGTTAAAATTCAAACACTTTATGTTTTAGCTTTCCTCATTATATCAGAGAAATACTAAAACCCCCTCCCCCCAAAGGTGCCCCCACCCCCTCGCTTCTTAATTGCTAGTGGAAGGGTTACTTTCTCCAGTGGCATTGATAAAAACCAGATCTCTTTTTAGGATCTTCTCCAAGCATAGTATAGGAATTTTTATCTTAAAGAGCAAAACTAGTTTCTTCCCCCCAAGATCCAAACACATATTACACTTAAAAGGCAATCCTCAATTATATTTGAATCAATAATAAATAAGACATCAGCCCAGAAAATCTTCCCCTCTTCTGCTTTGTCAGATGAGAAGAAATGTGAGAACACGTGTATGAATTTAGGAACTGCCATAGCCTAGAGGAGTATCACCTTTAGCAGTGACAGGTGCACAGGCAGCAAATGGGCCACGGGAGTTAACACCTTGGTATTATGTACTAGGTTTTATTCACAGACATGCAGGAATGAAACCATTTCCCCTGCATTGCACGGCACTGCCAGCAGCACCAGGGCCTTTGGTTCCTCCCTGGGAGAACTCCAGGATCCACAGGGGGATCTATTCCATGTTAAGTTGCATCTCTTCGTCGCCATCATATTCCCAGCCCCTGCAGCACAGTGTCTGCTTCATAGTAGCTTGAAGAATATGGACGGCTGTGGTGAGGTGCGGGGCATTACAGGGCCGCAGCCGACGGGTTTCACTCACCAGGCGACTATCCTTCTGGGGGAATAGACTGGTGCTTTTTCTACCTCGTCCTTTCTACCTAGTTGTGCTGGGAGAGCTGGAGAACTGGTGTTTGCATTCATTTTAAGGTTTTGAGGTCACGGCTTCTCCCACTGACACCCATAACACTGGGCTGTATTGCATGCTGAATGCTATGCCCTTGTGAGCAGATGCGGAGAGCCATAATACAGACTGTACAAGAGTTCCGGGCACCTCCTCATTTTAAGGCCGTCGTTAGTATGTAGTCCTGTTGGAATGATACAAGCAAATCCTCATCTCACCTCATACATATTCTGAGATATATGTGGCTTTGCATGGAGCAGGCCTGGGAAATACCTGGCCCCTCCTTACTTTGCAGGAAGAATGTGTCATACAGGTAACCAGATCCCTTCTGGCTGGTTTTAAACCATGGTGCCCCATAGTCAGGCTGTGGTGAGAACAATTTAATCCCTGAGGTTTTCTGACATCCTTGCCTTGTCCACAGTCTTACTAACTTCTCCAGCCCAAACCAGTTCAGTTTTCCTGTGTGCTGAGTGTTTGAGTCCATTCGATAAGAATGGATTCCTATCTCATCCCTTGTACCAGCCTTTTGCTTTTGTCTGTAACTCTTACTTGGGCTCTCACTTTGCCTACACAGTATTTGAGTAATTCCTTGCTGTTCTCACTTTGGCTTTTTTTGTTCAACATGCCAGCCAGCTATTTGGTTTGAAAATGTAAATGTTGTGCTGGTCATTTTTGCAGATGGCATATTTTGAGGAGGCTTAGTCAGTCTGTTAGATATA